ATCGCCCATCAGTATGAGGGACTCTGTATTCGGCACTTCGGACAGAGCACACTGCACTTCCTCAAGGAAGATCTCATGTTCTCCCTCCAAATTGGGAGCATAGACCTGTGCCAAGGTCAACGCTTTAGCCTGTTGTAGCTTCAGTAAGAGGATTGGCACTCTTCCGAAGATAGGCTCTTGCATTCATTCTCTCAGCCAGGCTGGGTTCTACCAGAACACCAACACCGGCCTGAGCGTGAGTCGTGATATCGACGCCTGAGTAGAACAGTTTCCATCCATTGAGGTTCAAGAGTCCAGAGCCTGGGCGTTTTGCTGACGAGAGTCCAACAATGTCGAGTTGGTACTTTATGGCCTCATCAACTAACTATTGTTTTTTCCTCCGAGAGTGTGTATGTTCCAATTTCCGACTCTTAGCTCCCACTGGTGGTATCGTTCTTGTGGACCCTTTTCTGACGTGTTATAGTAGCATAGCACTGTCCGCCTCTTCCGTTCAGAACGGATAGCGACTCTGTTGCTGATTGTTATCTTGGTCGTTGTTGCTTCGATCTTCAGCCATTGTTTTGCTGCCGCGCCCCTGGCTGCCAGAAGACGACAAGCAGCATCTGATCGCCGACTTTTTTGCAGCATGCCTTAGTCCTGCGTGACCCTTGGTAACCTGGGCGGTGTGCAAGCCGGTTTTATTTTCGATGATGGCAATACCATGATGGCAGGTGACTAAGTTTTACGGAGAATTCGCCACGGTATCCAACCCTTTTTCTTTCTAGTCCGGTCTTGGGTCCAGCAACGGCATGTGTAAAGCTTTTTCTTTTTTGTTTCTCTCCCTCCGAGAAATATTCATTGATTGACTTTCTGACCTGATCGGTTCTCGATTTTGTGACTTCACGGATTTGCTCTGATCGAGCAACGCCAATCTGACTCTAGTTAAACCACAAGTAAAATTGAAACCTTCTGCACATGTAACGCCAGACCTTGTTTCGAGACGGGCTCATTCGTGGGTTTTTTGACTAATGAGGGTAGTTGGCTGTTTAATCGTCGACCGTAGTTGTTCCTTGAAGGTCGGGTTTTAAGGCACTCATTTTGTTTAGTACTAAAAACGGTGCAGATATCTGCGTTCCTGAACTACGCGAAGCACTGATCTTCCAGGCGATAGAGAAATGCCCTTGTTTTGATTCGTGTCTTTTTGAAACAAATATGAAAATGCTTTCGTACGCCACCTAAATTTAAATAACGCATGACACCTCAACACGAGATTTCACGGCGTGTTGAATCGTCCATTGCTCGTAGCTGTTTGGAGGCATTTAAGTGGATCACGGTATTAGAGCATGATCAGTTGAATTATCTGAGCCAAAATCTGGTTCAGGGCCTGAAATCTGGTCTTGATGAAATCATGCGTTATTTAGCATGCGGGCGAACATTCTTTGATGTTTATTCGGTTGCATATTACGCGTACCAGCTCGTGAAACATTGTTCGAAATGAGTCTCTGCGAACCAAATCATGATAAATGCGTTTGGCACTGTACGTGTTCAAATACCGTAGAACCGTGGCCTACTTAAATTGCCCTTTAAGTAACGAGTATTAAATGAGCGACGATAGATATTGGTTTTCACAGAGTACATGCACCACGTCTTTGTACAGGATCAGCTACCACGCCTCTGGCAACCATTTTCAGCTAATGTGCTTTCGCACGATAGCTGTTTGTGACCATTTGCTATGATGAATTCGTTTTTCGGTAAAAACGTTTTATTTACCCGTTTTCATGTATATTCCGTTTTAGTCTTTCATACAGTACATCATTTGCGTTTACTGACTAAGGTTTTAAATGTCTTTATTGTCAAATCTTTAACTTATAGTTATGCGTCTCCTTTAACCTCCTACAGCTATTGCTTGCAAAATCGAAGATAACTGAATTCTTATGGCTTTTAAACTTTACATCGTATTATCAAATCATGCGTTGTGTTGCGTAATAACTAGTTATCGGTTTCGAATAGGCAGTGAGAAAAGAACGAGAGAGTTTCGTGAGTATCTGCCATAAATCCTGAAACAGTTCACCTACGAGGGTGTGATTTTTGGATCTGTCGATCTTTCTGTGCATTTAAAGCAAATCAGTCAATGGTAAAGATGCTTTATTTGCGAACTATTAATCCTGACTCCAGGGCTGTGGGCCACAGCGCGTAGTTATACCCAAAAATCAAATTATGCCTGTTTTTCAGTGCGCTATAATCGAACCAGAGTTTGGAGCAGCACTGCATGGTATCATGCCATTTCTACATTTTAAACGGTAGTTCTACATTTTAAACAGGACGATATTTGTCCATTGATGCCTAGAAGACGAGAGGACTTACGCAGCTGGGTTTATAGATTGCGTTTAAATTTGTTTAGTGTTCGTGGCGTTTTCCGTTATGCTACTTTTTTCTAGACTTTCTCCTTTTGTGTTGTTATGGCACAGTTATTGGGTTCGAATCTGACGGATGAAAAAATCTCTGTCTCAACCGTGACTTCTCTTGAGCAAAGAATCTACCACACGTCGTTTCAGACCTAGATTGATAAGTCGGTAAGGCGTCCGGCTCAGAACAGAGGTCCAGCTCTCGAACCTCGTGGGATTACTCATCTTTCTTCATTCCGAATTTGTTAAATTACCGCTACTCTGTGGAAAGGAAATGTAAGACTGCACACTATGGTTATATAGATGGTGTGGACTTTGCCCTTAAAAAGTAGGCTATATACTGTCTGATGGCAGAGAAATGGAGGTCGGCACTTCCCCATTAACTGCGTGATGAAAGGTACACCAGGAATGGTCTCGTAGTAAAAGTGTAGGGAAGGCCGACTGTTGCACGCTTTCGTTTTCTTCTTTTCGTTCCCCTCTGACAGTTTTTAGGAAGTTTCTTCTGCAGTCCAAACTGTCCTGATATATGTATGTCATGATTCGATGTGGCATATCTTCTTAAAGTGGTCTTATTTGCGGTAGTGATTGTAATAGTTGACTGTAATTAACGAATAACTAAAATACTGCGGTATTTATGTGGATTCTGTTTAGTGCGTGACTTACCTGACAGCTGACTAAATCAGCCTAACATGCTACCAAAACAACAAGCGAAACAAAATATGTGTATTATGGCAACAGATCATTTAATTTTGGCTTTTAGCTACTCGATAAAAAACTGCCATTTTTTGTTCATGCGTTTTCGTTTTAGGGGCGTTGCGTATAAGCATTTCTCGCAAGCAGGAAGTCTTCCTCCAAAGGCTGCTAAACTGTCGTCGAAGATCGATGCTCTGAATCTGCGGGTTCAATCGATACTTTGTCGGAAATTGTTCGAGCTACGTCAGTCTCAGGCAATCAGCAACTACCGGCATATTAACCAATATCAACGGAGCATCAAGGACGGTAGCAGAAACTGTGCTTCCGCGCCATCCAGCTCATGTTCGTTCAGCGGGCAGGGCGACCAAGGAACGAACGTAGCTCCGTCGTCTCATCAGGCTAGCCCTAAATCGTGTTCCGCCTCTGCTCACTCACCTACCCCTTCCCCTGCGAGTTCCACAGGTTCTTCGCAGTCCTTGCCGCCCGGCCTAGTCGCCATACCTCAAAACGTTGAAGCCCTGTACAAGCAGCAACTGTCGCATCTGCACAATCTTATGTGGGCTCATCATAACTGGCAGCTGTCGGATAAAAAGCTCAAATCGGATGACAAGCGTAAGTTTGCTATTTATTTCGCCTTGAAGGGACACATGCAAATATGGCTATTTTATTAACCTAAGTCCTGTCGTCATCTCATGCAGACACCCATCTTGTCATTATTTAGTCTGCTTTTATCATGATCCTCTGATGAAAATTTAGAGCAGAAATTAATTTATATATTGTTAAATCTTTTAAAGTTTAACATTTGCGATTACATCTTGTGCTAATTTTTAATCAACTCTAAGGTAGGCCAAGGCACACTGTAGTCGGAAGGTCACCATTTAGACAGCATCGCAGTGTGTCTCGCCAACTTTGGCATGGCAACACCCAAACACGATCCTTTCCCTATTATTCTCAATGTTAACGACCTGCTTTCTGCTGGATTTTTTCGAATTTAACTAAAGTGCAATGGAGATGTAGCTTCTAAACGCATATCTTTTAAACCTGGCTCCAGTGAAGTTCAGAGCAAAGTACAAAAGCACCTACATTGCCGCCACAGCTCCCCGGCTCGCCGTGAATATACCGTTGTAGATTGCCGGGCTTTTCGCAGGAGATTCTAGATTTCCATCTGCGTGCCAAGAAAGCCACATCTTTTGTCCTCTCCTCCAACGACTATGATTTGAGAAATAATGTTTGCTGACTTAAGTCTAGGAAAGGGACAGTGATTTACGTATATTTGAAGGTTTCGTCGTTTGACACTTTGTTGCCAGTTCAGGAGACCGAGGTTGCAAAAT